ATCCACTGGCTGTTGTCTTCAACACAAACGCCTGCATGGGGAAGGGCAGAGAGATGTCACCAAAAAAGTTAGCTTTTGTCATTGCAAAAGCTTGCTCAAGACCCAGTTTTCTGGGCAAAAAGCTTCCAAACCTCCAATTGAAACAAAAAAACTCCTTTGTTTTTCTCCTGAAACTTGTCCCACTGCTCAAGAGATACAACATCCCAGAGAAGCTCCAGCTGGCACGTGGGTGCGATGGTCCAGGCTCTGTCCTGGACAAGCCCCTGCTGCCCCGTGCTGCTGCTCCCACACCCACTCCAGGCTCCAGTGAGGCAGAGGCACCAGCCCGAGGGATGGCCAGGCTGCAGTTACCTGTCGTTAGCATGCCGGAATAGGGGTCCGTCGGAGACAGACAGACATTCTTCTGTCCTCTGCGCCCACATCGTCTCTCTGACCTCAAGCCAACCAAGGTCTCAGATTTCTTTACGTCCTTTCTGAAAGAATAAAATGCAAAAGGAGGGGTTGAAGTCCTTCACTGTACAAGTCAGCTTCACAGAGGGCTTGGAAAGGGCAGATCCCGCTCCCAGATGTCCCGCCCAGGGAGATCCATGAGTCCTGCCCCATGCTGCAATGACCATGAGTGGTGGTGGGGAGAGGGTGAGGACTGCCATGTCCCACCCCATTACCTCTCCCGTCCCGCCTGCTCCTCCACGGTGTCCACAGCACACTCGAGCGAGGCCTGCAGGGACTGCAGCTGGTGCATGGTTTCCCGCAGAAGGAAACGGGTCAGGAACTGCTCCATCTTCGAGGAAGTCTCGTACCTCTGCAGGGAAGGGGAGAGGAACTGTCAGATGGCTCTGTACAGGGGAAGCAGAGCTGCACCTGGAAGGGGTTGACCCTTAAATAAACCCAACTGGGTGGATTCCAATCAAATTTTTAGTTATGGTAGTAAATGATGATACTGTAGGACAAAAGCATCCTCTGGGTGCGTGCCTGTGAGGTCACCACAGGGAATGCACAGCGTGTTCCCCCATCCCAGCCTCAGCACCCCCAGCTCCTGGGAGCCGTGGAGGACCACAGATGAACACCTCGAAGCCACAAGGAAAAGGCTGCTTGCAGAAACAGCCCCCAGCTCCGGGGCAGGCAGAACACCTCTTGCTGCACCCAATGGTTCACACACTGCTCTCTGCTTGCACTGGGGCTCTTGGGCCAAGGTCGGTGGGGCTGAGAGCCTGCAGCAGCCCCCCGGGCACAGGCAGCCCCTTCCAGGGAGCATCCCACCACTGGCAGGACAGGGCAGCAGGCTGGTTTCATGCCCTCTCTCCCCAGGAAGATAGCACCAAGCCTCTCTGCTCCAACGGAAAGAGATCCTTGCTGAATTTGTGACATGCACTTGTGTTTGGGGCCACCCCACAGTCTGTCCCCATGTCACCCACTGAGTGTGAGTAACAGCCCCTGTGAGCCCCAGCCCATCTGCCCTATGGCACCAGAGGGGTGCCCAGCAGGAACATGGGGCTGGGTGCCCTTGCCTCACCAATCTCCTCCCTGGTCTGCCATGCAATCTGTGCACCACGGGCATTAGTGCTGGGGGCACGTAAAGGTGGGTCCAGGGGGGCACGCAAGAAGTGCTGGGGAGAAGGAAGGGGTCACCATGCATCCTGGCAAGAAGGCAAGCTGGTGCAGAAGGCACCCAAACAGTGGGTCAGGATGCTTGTCATGCCCCAGGAACATGCCTGAGAAGCACAGAGAGCTGGAGAAGTAACTGGACACACACAGGCACCCCAAACTCCTTCCCCCCTCTGTCAGCTGTGAGCACAGATCCTCCTGGGCAAAAATCTGGGTGTGATGAACAGCCACAGCCTGGAGCATGGCTCCTTTCCATACGCTACGGGTTCTGCTTGCAGCACCATTCCGTGCAGCCTGGTCCAACCACTCTACCTTCCTGTCCAGCTTTCACCTCCTTCCTTAAAACCACCTGGAGTTTTGTCCTTGCACTGTTAGACATCCCAAGGGCATGGGGAATATCTCCAAGGCCCCAGGGAGGGAGACAAGGTACCCAAAAAGGGATGCTCAGCAAAGCAGGGAGCAAGGAGACAGGAGGAAAGGCTGAGGCAGGTACCCAGAAGCAGACGCTTCCAGAGCAGGCACCGCTGTCCGCCACTGGGGCTGAGCCAGCCTTCCTCGCAGAGCAGGTGAACATGCCTGGTTTGCCCCCGTGAGACTCCTCTTGTTCCACGGCAGGGTGAGGCTCTTCCTCCCTCCCTGGCATCCCTCAGGAGTGCCACTCATGCCAAAGCCTGCAGTCGTCAGACAACAGTAGCAGCTTCACCCGGGCAGACTCTGCAGGCCAGAAGGCGGCCAAGTTTGTGCCAAGGACCATGTTGCTGCATCCTGGCAGCGCAAGCACAACATGGGAGACCCAGCAGCTTCCCACTACTGCTGAAAGCACGGCAGGCTTTGCTGTAGCACTCAGGATTTGCTCACTCAAGTATGGCATCACTGAGGACTGGGACTGCATGGAAAATCTGTGAAGCCACCTCTTCTTCTGCAGCCTGAAAGCTCTCCCAGAGGAACAGCTGGTGCTCATGGCCAACTCCTCATCTTGCCCTTCCACCAACAAGCAAAAGGTGGCAGAGATGCTTTTCAAGAGCATTGGGGTGCCAGCCCTGCACATGGGTAACACCAGGTTCCTCTCCCTCTGCACCTACTGCAGTCACCAGTCTGGCTGTGGAGGCTGGGTCAGGAGTGCCCCATGACGCCTGTTTGCCTGGGCCAGACCTGGAGGGAGGCCAGGTACCACCTCGGGGTGGCTGGTGGCCTTCTCTCCAGCTACCTGCACAGCCTGCTGATGGAGAACCCCAATGACCTCTCAGTGATGAAGGCCTTGAAGCAGACGACAGTGATCCAGCTGAAGAAGAAATGCTGCTATGTCTCCATGGACTAAGCAGGAGACCTCCAGGACCAAGGCTACCATCTTTCAGCCAGATTTCAGGCCCCCAGTGGGCACTGGATAACCTTGGACACAGAATGGTTCTGCTGCCCAGAGCCACTATTCCAACCGAGGCTACTCCCCATGGCTTCACCACTTGGCCTTGCAGAGCCTCCAGAAGGTATCCAGCCACGCCAGGAAGGACACGGTGGGTAACATCATGCTGTCAGTGGGCTCCTTGATGTTTCCTGGCTTTCCCGAGAGGGTGTGCTTAGAGTTGAACACCCTGTTCCACAGTACAGGCTTCCAGATCCAGGTCCTGGTGATCCCAGAGAGGGGCACAGCAGCCTGGGCCGGGGGCTTGATATGGCAGCATCGCTCACATCCTTCCAGCACATGTAGATGACAAAGGGTGAGTACCAGGAACACAGTGCTGAGCACATGCACAAGATATCCCAGTAGGCAGGTGACAACCATGCATCCAACACATCCCACCAGCAGGGCATAGCTCCTGCTGCAGGAGGAGGATCTCCCAAACTCTGCCATGCTCCTGCGGCGGTGGTGGAGACCAAGGGCCGACTCCTGTGCTGCTGCCGGAGTGCAAAGTCAATCCAAACACTCCAAAAGAAGTAAATTGCTTTTCATTTACGCTCCGAGTTCTTTCTCTGCCTATCCACCATCACTCTAATACGCACGTGTCCACTCAGGCTGCCAACACAAACACGGATCACGCTGTGAACCCAGGCGATGCCAACTGTCTGGGTATAGCTGGTCCACAGCCGAGACCTGACTCTCCAGGCTGGAGGCTGTGCACATCTAGAGCCCTGCAGCAAAGCTGTCCTTTTCAAAAGCACTGCCTGCAGCTGCCAGCACTGGGAAGGGGGCTGCTCCAACAAGCAGGAAAGCTCCTTCCAGCAGTCAGTGCAGCAGGACACCCAAGGTCCACAGGGTGAGGAGAAGAAGGTCCACATTGCACCTGCATTGCAGCAAGTTCCCTATGGGAGGTGATTTCTGATCTTGGCACTGAAGCAGCTCAGCTCTGGGTACAGAGGGTGAGCTGGTGAAAACCAGGGAACCAAATCCGCCCTTTGCAATTTTGGTAAAAAGGCCATTTGGTGCTTCAGGGAGCAGATTCAGTTCACTGACCGGGCAGAAAAGCATCCACGGGGCTCTGCTGCTGCTCTAGTGAACTGAATTAGCTCAGCAGATGATTAGAAAAGGATCAGAGGTTGCATGGGGGAAGCAGCTGGGCAGCACTGCCCAGCTGTCACAGCAGACTCCTTTCCCCACAGCCAGCCTCCGTGCCCAGCTCCTCAAGGAACACAGAAACCACAGGACATCACTGTGAGCATTAAGGGAGACAGGACTGGTAGTGGGAGGTCAAGGAAGAAATCTCCACACAATGCAGGAGGGCTGGTTGCTCCACAGGAGCATCCACCAAGAAAGGTCAACCCCTCTCCCTGACAAGACAAGGAGACAGACTGGACCATAGTCACCTCTGCCTTCCCTATGGTGCCCTCATGTAACCCCAAGGCCACAGTACAGACCAGGAGCCAGGCTGCCTTCATTCCCCCAAGCACCATGAACTCCCTCGTTCATGTCCAAAATAAGAGTCCAGCAATGCAACCACATTACTCAGGTCAAATATTTGCGTTTCTCTCCAACACATGGGAGAACTGAGGATCATGAATTACAGATGCTCTCCGCAAAAGCACGTGGCTGTAACCCTTCTGATGTTGGTGTCAAAAATCCGTTGAGGAGGGGGAACAGCGGGGAAGGTCTTGAGCCCCACTTGGTTTTCTGGTTCCTTTGCACCACAGCTGAGTCCACATCACAGTCCCGGAGCTACATCCACCTGGGGCTGCTGGCACAGCTGTGCAGATGTTCATCTGTGAGAGGATGCTCATCCACCGAGCACTGCCCTGGGCTCGTGCTGGAGTAGGCGAAGGATGGCCACAGCCACTCCCCACACCGCCCTACCACCTGGGCGAGCAGAGCCCTTCACCCAGCGGCCGTGCTGCCAGTGGGTTTTCTTCCGTGCATGAAAATCTCATTTTTCTGCCAGAGGAAGAGGACACCAGCAAAGTCGATCCGCTGTGGCCTTGGCAAGCTGAGCTCCAGCTTTGCATCTCTGAGCTTTCCCCAGCCAAGCAACCCACCTGCTCCCACAAGCCTTCCTTCCTCACGGCCCCAGAAGACAGAGAGCACAGGGCTGGGGATCCCAGGCAGGGACCCTGCCAGTCCCCCTGCCCACTCCTTCACTTCCTGACTCCCAAGGGGTGCGGGCACCGCAATACCCCCCAGCACTGCTCCTCTGTGCTTGCTCAGCTCCTGCCAGCCCAGACATGCATCTCCTGCTTACAAGGGAACAACTGACACTCACAACTCCCCAGGACAAGCCTGAGAAAGAAAGCTGAAGGATATTAATTGACTGAGTCCCCCCTGGGGCACAGTGGAAGAGATGGATACATTATTCATCCACCACATGGCCGGGCACAGTCCGTTTCATTTCGAGAGCTGGTCCAAATCCAAAAGCTGTCACCCCTCTTTCTGCACAGAGGGCACTTCCCACAGCAAGCAGCCTCCGCAGCAGGACAAGCCTGAGAAAGAAAGCTGAAGGATATTAATTGACTGAGTCCCCCCTGGGGCACAGTGGAAGAGATGGATACATTATTCATCCACCACATGGCCGGGCACAGTCCGTTTCATTTCGAGAGCTGGTCCAAATCCAAAAGCTGTCACCCCTCTTTCTGCACAGAGGGTACTTCCCACAGCAAGCAGCCTCCGCAGCCATGAGGATCCGCTTCAGGAGGTGCGCTCCCATCTCCGATGCATCCTCCCCAGCTCCCCACCGGGGCCGGCTGCGGCCCCCACAGCCTTGGCATATGGACGTTTCCCCTTGCACAGGGGCCGGATGCTTCTCCCCAACTGCATCACTCCCCTTCAAAGGGCCAGGTGCTGGGAGAAGTCCCGGCATCAGGCCAGCCTCCCAGCATTCCTCATCCTCTCAACTTTCATCCTGAGGATGGCCTTATCCTGATGTCCTCTGTGGGTGATGTCGGTGGATGGAGTTTTACCACAGGAGCAGGCAGCTGCTCCCACCAACATCGCGTTCCAGCGGCAGGGGACACGTTCAGCCTGCCCTGAGCCCAGCAGCCCGCCCCAGCACAGTCCTTACACCCCAAAACCCAACCACCAGCCCAGGGCATGCAATGCTCGGAGAGGACTCGGCTCTGAAGCTCGTCATGCAGAGGGCTGCCCATCCTCCTGGTGCCAGCACACCCCAGCCCACTGTGAAGGGCAAAGCAGGATCCCACACGGACACGCCAGTATTCCGGGTGAGCATCGCACACGACGAGCCAGCTGCCTCCTGTCTCTCGCCTCATCAGATGCAGCATGCCCAAGGGAACGTGCCGAAGAGACGGATGGAAATAACCACCTCTCAAGAGAGCCTCAAACCTCATTTCACCCTTCTGCATCCACTTGGAAAATTTCATGCCAGGGAAGGGAATCAAATGAAAAATGCACCTTCCCTTCAGTTCAGCTGCCCAGCCACCTTCACGCTCCTCACTTTGGGGCAAACAGGCAAAACCCTCTTTGCCAGGTGTAGCACCACGCAGTTCAAACCCCTCTGTAAAAAGAGGCTCAATAAAAACGTGCTGTCTCACCGAGCACAGCTTTTCCTGCTCAGAGCAAAGACTCATGGAAAGGAGTTGCGGAGGAAATAACTCAGCAAGCACGAGACAAAGCTTTTTGGTCATGGACCAGTATTTCAGCTCCGTTGACCCAGATGAAAATCTCAACGTCGCCAAGAGTTGCTACAATTCTGCTCTTGAGACGTTTTATTAGTTTCCTGTGACGATAGTTAAACTCAGGACAGAATGGAATAGGCGATCATGTAATTCCTGCCAAAGGAGAATGAAGAGCACCTGACTTGGAGAGGTATTTATGGGCTAGTTTGCAGTGTCTGCAAACAAACTGCAGAATGGAAAGATTTTAGCACAGAGATTCCCTGTGAGAAATATCAGGCCATTTCCTAAAGCATTCCCACAGTTCACCTCGTACTCTGATGCTGTTATATCGCAAACGCAAAGTTACCCACCAGATAAGCTTTAACTAGTAGACTGCCACAGAGCTACAAACGTAAGCAGGAATGATGGAATTTGGAGAAAAAACCTCTTTTCAAGACAAGACATCTTTTCCTTACCATGGTTCTACCAACTCACTGAGGAAAGATGGGAGCACAGGAAGCCCTCATGATGTGGTTTCCTCCTGCCAACCTGTGGATCCATAAAAAAGACCAGGAGCAGGTTTGCTGCTATTTCCTACAGTAACTGCGGTCACTTACACCAGGAGAAGGATGAGCCTGGCTCGTATGCCCCACGTTTTATCGCAGTGCTTATCCTGCAGTCGACAACGTGCACGGCAGGCAGCAGATCGAGGAGACAGCCGCTGAGACACACCATTGATCCATGCCAGGTACCCTGGCACACAGCAACCGCGATGGCATGCACAGAGGTGGGAATCCTCGACACCAAAAAGGCTTTCAGCACCACTGCTTCAAAACACAGCTCCCAAACCCAGAGCCACAGCATATTTCCCCTGAGCTTTGGTTTCCTTATTTCCCTCTCTCCCCTCCCTGCAGCTCATCACCCTGGCATGGTCTGAGCAAGCCAAGTGCATCTCCCAGGCTCTGCTTTTGTTGTGCTAACAAAGCAGCCCATGCTCTCCGTCTGTTTTCCTGCTTGTAAAGTGGGCTCCTATCGACATGAGCCTATTTACAGCTGTGGGTTAAGTACCTGGAGGATGCAGAGGTGAACAATCCTGCAGCAACAGAAGGAAGGCACTACTGGAGATGGATCAAGCCCTAACCAAGAGATGCTGTGGTTCAACTGGTGAGACCCAGCTAAAGTCAGAGATCCCCTTCTCCTAGCTAGCCCAGGAATCACTGCCTCCTTGGGAGTCACATGAAGCTCCCTGAAATAAAGCCTGGGAAAAACGGGCAGGGACAGCAG